ATAATTAACAATTATTCCACGAGCGCGCGTTGGATATGAGATGATAGATAGCCAACGAGGCGCGTAGCGCCGAGTTGGCTATAATCATCTCATATCCAACAAGCGCGAGTGGAATAATTGTTTTATTAAAAACGTTCAATTAAATTATTAAATTTTATTAAATTCTTAGCTCCCTTTTAATCTTAAGCTGAAACGTACGCTTGCCATATTTGTAGATTATAGTATATTGGCTGATAGACCATAATGGCTAAGCCAATAAAAAGTCTTGAATTGCATTATCCAATGATCTAGTTTTTAATAATATCTGTTAGTACTTGGACCAAGGATCAACTCAAATGGGAGGGGGGGGAATTGTAAAGGTTAAGTCAGTGATCCAGCTGAGTGGCCTACACTAACAGAGCTTATCCCAGTTTACACTGCAAGAAGTGACTATGAATATTGCTTCTTCTTCCTGGATGTGACACAGTCACCCCTCCCCCACTATCAACAGGATTTTGTCAGTTTTTCCTGACAGTTTGCCAGTACCAATTCAAATTCCTGGGTGGAGAGGCACTGTGATGGCTGATTGTCATGCCGAAGAACAAAACACAATGGTCTAGCAAGATCTCATACTCACATCTCCTAACCCAGAGTCTGGTTGCTAACCACAAGACCATCAGGTCTCCCAATAGCATGCAGAAATTAGCACAATATCAAGAATGATTGATAACTCAGCCAGGATTTTCCCCATACAGGATTAGATTAAACATGACTTGAAAGAGTATTTTGTTCCTCTTCTTTCATTTTTGGGTGTAAATGGCAGTATTGGAAAAGAGGGCACTATTTTTCAATACAAGAAGCTCAAAAGAGTTGCCCTTTCTGTCAAAAAATAGAACCTCAACAGTTTTAAAGGAAAGCAACATGCTGCAGAGCCTTGTGGAAAAATCTCTTGGTTACCACCGACTCCTCCCCTAAAACTCAGCTGTACAAACTAAATCAGCCTACCAGTATAATAAGACCTGAATTGATCCAGGCCATTGATAGGATATAATTATCCTCTAATCTACCTTGGCAAGCTTTTCCATCACTCTGCAAAGTGTATCCTGTTAAACAAGAACAGGTGTAATTTCCTGGAGAATTGATGCAAAGTTGCTCACATCCTCCACGATTATAGCTGCATTCATTTATATCTGAAAATAACATGAAACAAGGAGTCATTTCATCTAAATATTATGTAACTCAGTAAAGAGCTTCTGCATCATAAAAGATCAAAGTGTTGTGGTATACTAATTTTGCAGGAGCACATTTAGAGGTTCTGAGGTGTGTAGTCATCATTAGCATCAATAAAATTGCTAAGCTGTCACATATCTGTTCTGCTTCTTTAATACAGGGCTCGACACTACCAGTAGCCAACTAGCCACAAACTAGTAGAAATTTAGTTTTGGCCAGTGGTTTTTGATTTCCACTGGCCAGTTTGGCTAGTAAACAAACTGAAATAGTTTTAACATCTAAGTAGTCACTGGCCACTTGGCTAGTAAGTTGAAAAGTTGGTGTCGAGCCCTGACATATGGTCTATGACCTGACATGTTACAACTTACTGGTAATTTTATATTTGCAATTGACTAAAAATAAATAATCTTTTTTACATTACCTTCACATGTCTTTCCATCAGATTTGAGTTCAAATCCAGCTGGACAAATGCATTTGTATCCACCAATCAGATCCAGGCATGTGTGACTGCACTCCCCATTATTTATTTCACATTCATTAAAGTCTGAAAAAAAGTACAAATCAACTGTATTATTCCCTCAAATACATTATCAGCCATTGACTTTTTGGTAGCATATGCATTTTTTTTTCTGCAGCTTATAGTATTTTTTCAACTGAGCTTTTCAAGCACCTTGTATTTATCTTCTATCTGATCCAAATAAAGTGCCCATTTCAGCATCAAAGGCTCCCAAGGGCATATTAAAAAGTGTGTCTAAAAACTAGCCTGAAAACATCATACATCTCAGAGTAACATGTTTTCATGCAGGTGATGTGCAAAGTATTTAGCTGTGACAAGGACTTAATTCCATTTGATACCATTACCTAAGCAACCGCTTATAAACCATAACCATTAGACTTGGATCTAAGTGGCAATGACAATTAAGGTATTATTTTCATTTTATATCATTACCCAAACAACAGCTTCCTTGTTAGTAAGATAACAATACCCAAATAACAGGTTTTTTAATTAATTTTGATACCACTACCCAAGGAACAAAATTATAAAACATAGCCAAGAATTTGATCAAGTGCTTGTGAAATACAATGGAACTCCTTCAGAAGAAAAAAAATATGAGTGACTAGCATGGCTACCACAGCTTACTCTTCCTCCAATCCATGTTAACCATTAAACTCCCAAGATCTGATTGTAAAATTAATTCTCTCCTCTAGCTGCCATGCATTTCCTTGTAAATTAGTTGCAGTAATTCGGTGTTAGATCAAGATAACAATTAACTTCTTCCTGACAAGTTTGAGTATTCTCATTACCTGTTTGCTGGATAATGTAAGGATATTATAGGGAGAAGTTACATGTTAATCACTTCTGAGAGTCAAAGGGTTTATCATTTTGTCAGGTTAATACCATAACAAGGTAACAGTTAGCTTTCTTATTAGAACTCACAACAATCTCTGTATGAAATTGGGTGTGAGATTTAAACCTTGAAAGGGAAAATACCTGCTCCTGGTTGCCGGTCAGGGTGATAGACATGTAATGCCGTGGGCCTTGTCAGGCCTCCTGTGATGCTGACTCGATCATTCCCGGTATCCTTCTTACAGTGTTCTATACTATGCTGATGCCAGTCACTCCAATAAAGTCTGTCACCAAACTGAGTCAAAGCATATGGATGATACACCCTTGTGCGATCAATGAGCACCCTTCGATGCTGGCCATCTAATTGGGATTTCTCAATCTTATCTGTGTTGGCATCTGCCCAATACAGCATCTTATCAGCATAGTCTAAAGTGAGTCCGTTTGGCCATACGATGCCCGAATTTACAAGAACTTCTTTGTGTGTACCATCACTCATTTTAGCTCTTACCACTTTTGGCTCATTTCCCCAATCTGTCCAATACACTTTGTCATCTGCTGGATCAAGTACAATAGCTCTTGGTTTGTCATGGCCTGTGGCAATCAATGCCTTTCTCTGTGTGCCATCTAGATTTACAACACTAATAATCTTCTTGTTTGCATCGGTCCAAAACAGTTTACGACCCGTCCAATCCACAGCCACATCTTCTGGGATTCCCAAGTCTTCAGCTATAATATCTTCAATTTTCATAGGATCAAGCCCATCATTAATGTGTACCCTTTGAATTTTCTTAACACCTACATCAGACCAATATATCATTTGTGTTTTAATGTCAAAGTCCAAACCAACAACATTTGTTAAGCCTCGCACAACATAGTCATAACCAGTTCCATCAAGATTCACTCGCCGGATGTCCACAGTGTTGCCAAAGATTAAGAAGGGCTCTGCATTGAGAGACTTTGATTGTGGAATTAGGCAGAGAAGAGCTAAAAAGAGGAAACAGGAGAGGCCATGTTAAATCAGATATTGTATGGGTATAGGCCAGGCCCCAGTTCTTCAAAGGGTTGATGACGCTATCTGCTGGATAAAGCTCTTTCCACTGGATAGCAGGGTATGTTTTGGTAATGCTAATCCACCGTTAGCTCATTGGATAGAGCGCTGGACTGTTGAGCAGGAGGTCAAGGGTTCAAGCCCAGGCTGGACCAACACTCAGGGTGTTAAAATAATTGACAAGAATATGCTACCTTTCTATAACATCAAGAAATGGTTAGATATTCTAGTCTTCTCAGATAGGGACGAATGAATGGAGGTCCCATCTCCTGCAGGGTTAGGGGTAGGAGACGCTAATTTCCCACGCACAAGATTACTGTGTGATGGATGTCCTCCCCTGGGATGGGATGGGTGGGTTAGGACAGCAGGTCCACATCAGCTATTACAGCAGCCAATTAATCAACCTGCTTAAACAAATAATTAATGAATGTAATGTAATGAATGTAGATAGCATTATCCCTTCTTTGAACATCCAGGGCAAGGATACATTAGTCTTTATCATATGTTCAAGTCTAAGCTATATTATCAAGGAAAAGGCAAAAGAAATAACTTGTCCCTGTATTTTTCACAACAACTCAAGCTGGCTTACATGATGCCCCATTCACACAAACAAAACATGTTTGGTCAAACAGATCTAACTGAATGAAAATCAGTAACAGGAAACTGAATTTTAAACGAGCTTTAAGTCATCTCTTATCTGTACCATTATTTTTCCAAAACTTTGAAGAGAACAAACATCCGTTTAAGCAGTTTTGATGAAGAGATCAATTTTAAACTGTGCATGTTTAACAAAACAGCTTAAAAAAAATGTTTTAGTCTCAAAGTGAATGAGGTACATAGTTCTCATCTGACATGTTTAACTCATTTCTTAGAGATGAACAGACCCCACTGAAATCAATCTCATAATACTTTCATTCATATTTCCAGAGAAAGAACTGAGACAAAAATCATACTCTAGATATGCAGTTGTCTCCCCTCTGAGTAATTTTGTACCTCTTCAAAAGGAAAATAAATACGTCATTTTTCACTCACCAAAACAAGTGGCTATTCCAGTTTTTAGAAACCTCGAAAGCAAAATCCGGAAAAAGATCATTTTGGTCACCTGTAAAATATTAAGCGGATTAAAACTTTCGACACTTTAAAGAAACATTTTAATTGATCTGTAGAGAGAGAAGGTTTTTACTGATGAACAAAGGACCAGGCACAAGGTACAAAGAGCCGAGAACGTTTGAGGTGAACAAAAGATTTGAAAACAAAGACAGAGAACAAATAGGTTTCTAACCTATTTTATGCGAATACCTACAATATCGTGAAGGAAAACTAAAACGAACATTGATAGAGGATCGAATGTGTCATTTTGCACCCTGGTGTACTGTTACTGCCTCAACTTGGTAATTTAAAATGTGAAGTTATATGCATGCGATCTGCAAAATGAAGCACTGAAAAAATCACCCTAGCCTTTCGTGTAGAATATAACCAACTGCGTGATCAGAGAAAACAATTTTATCAATTGTTCTCTTTATCCTGCGTTTTGGTTAAATTCTTACGCCATGCAAACAGACTATAAAATTATGCCATGTTCGTGCGGGATTAATTATGAATTAAACATTTGCATCGAGACAGGAAAGTTGGGCTGTTGACATTCAGTAAAACACTTAACAACAACCAAAGAAAGAAAACAATGACTTAAAACAAAATTTACACGAAAAATAGGTTTGACCGTATCAAATAAGTATGCATTGCATATCACAAATGTGTGCCTATATCGTTGTTTTAGTGGGCAAACCATAGTCAAGCATAAAAACAATAACATCCAGTCTGCACATTGTACTCACAAAACAGCTGAAATTCTTAAGCTTGCTCAACGCCAAGACTTCAATGTTCTGTCAGGTTGACAATAACGGTGATCGATCGGTAGATGATGCTACTTTGTGGAGAAAAGATTTTTGCAGACCTACTATTTCCGGGGTAAAGACCGGGGCATGACAAAAGGACGGTCAACCTTCCTTGAATACCCATGTTGTCGATCACTTCGAAAGTAAACAAGATAATACAAAGAGATCAGACCCCTAAATTAAACGAAATGCCAAATCAAGATCGACCCCCAGCGATGATAGGTTCGTTTCCTGATTAGCTGTTGATATTGTACCTCCCCATGAGCACAGAACTGGTGGAAAAATTTAAACACCACAAGATATTGCTCCACAAAAAATGTAAATCCCGCGTTTTGGTTACGAACGCGAAAGATCCCGAATCAGTCTCGAAGATGATCCGAAGAGGAAAAAAAGATGTTCGACAAGTCTCGGTCAAACTCGGGAGATGGTCTGTAAACCACAGGTATCGTGTTAGGATGAACATTGCAGCTTTATTTTGAAATGTTTTACAGCTGATTCTGTAGTTCAGATCTCTATAACAAGGTTTGGGATCGACATGGTATGTTAAAGAGGAGTTCTCACTTCGAAATTCTGATTTTCCATCATTCTATCGACCGCTAATTCATGTATTTTGTTTGTCGTGATTTGAAGCTTGAGTCGTTCTTCAAGCTAGCTTACAGGACATGTTTGTCTTTCCACAGTCGATCACTGTCAATGTATATTCTGATTTGTCCTGCCCTTGGTGTTATGTGGGCAAGAGACGTCTCGACAAAGCCATTCAGCAGTGTACTGAAGCTGGTATAACTGTTCACTGGCATCCCTACATAATCGACAAAAATACTGCTGAAATGGGCGAGGATTACATGGCATACAATACCAGAAGGTAAATTGAGACACTTAGTCGGTGACTGGCATCTAATTTCTCCATAAAATATCACCCCTGAATTCCACACTAAGGTCATGAGAATAAAGGAAATTATCACCAACAAAAAAAGCTTTTGTTTGTTATACAAATTCTCCTTGTCAGCGCCTTAGGAAATGTATAGAGAAGAATATGGAGAATATGCATACTGATTTTTAATGTCTTCTGTGATCTATTACTGAGCAGACCCACGGAAAATTGGAATCTACGTGTTTTAAATAATGAAGAGGTAAAAAGTTGTTAATGGTGACATCATCTATGGGTCTGTCCTTAAATAGATCATAAGTAAGAACCAATAAAACTCTGTGTGTAATAAATATATCTTATTAACCAAGC